TACATTGATTTCAGAATTCGAAGAAAATTTCCAAAAACGCCCTTCTTTTCAAGTGACAAGAAAATTTTAGAATGATTCACTTTATCAAATGCTTTACGGAAATCAACATAGAGACAGTAAAAGCGGCCACCCTTTTTAGAAAGATATTTTTGAACCATTGCTTGTAGACAAAAAACATTATCGATAGCCGAGTAACCACGCCTAGATCCTGCCTGAGATTCATCGATTTTTCTTTGATTTTCGGCCCAATCGTATAATCTTTTATTTATAATACCTGTAAAGACTTTACATAATGTATTTGTAATAGATATGCCGCGATAATTACCAGGATTATTACTTGGCCCTGATTTATGAATTGGTGTAATCATGCTATTTCTCCAAGATATTGGAAATTGCCCTGTTTCGAGTATTTTGTTAAATAGTGTATGCAGAATAGGCGCTATTTCATCTGATGTATGTTTATAAAATTCGGAAGGTATGCCATCTGGGCCACAACTTTTATTATTAACTAATTTAGATATAGAATGTTTAATTTCTAGCAAAGTGAATGGTTCATTTAATGTCTGAGCTGTATCATCGTCGGAATCATGTTCGTTTCCAACATAAGGATCAACAAACACTGAATTTTCGTCATACAACAAATATCTAAAATAATTGAACCATTCTGTACAAGAAATACTAGGATCAGACATAGTAACAGTTTTGCCTTTCTTCACTAATTTCCAAAAAGAACTTGGGTTGTTACTGTTTGATACTAGTTCTAATCGATTAGATTTCTGATATTCAGATATTCGTACATTACAATAGTCTTTAAACCTATTTCGTTTATCTTTATATATTCGTAAGTCAGACGAGGATTTACTTAATCTAAATGTGCGTAGCGCCGCGTATTTGTTTGCTTTTAACTCATTACATGTGTTATCCCACCACGGAGGTTGAGACGAATGAAAACAAAATTTCTTAAGCATGCATTTTCCAGCATCTTTATAAATGGAAGTAACACAGTCGACCGTAGAATTGACAGAGTTATCAATTGATTCCATTATCATCGTGTAGTGGTTATGAAACATTTCCCTAAATTTTTGCAAGAAATCTGTACCTGCTGACACACGCCATTTATATCTATCAAAAGTGTTCAATGATATTTGAGCAGTTTGGCTATCTGCGTTATTAGACTTTTTACGAAACACAAAAGTACAACATATAGGAAAATGATCAGATTCATCTCTAGTAAGAACCTCAAAATCTTATATGTATGAAAATAGAGAAGAAGATGCGATCATAAAATCAACAACACTCGATCCATCATTTGAGAAGCAAGTAAATTCACCGTTTTTATCGCTTGGAAAACGACCATTAAGTATATGAATATCAAAAATACAGCATAAGTTTACTAAACATTTACCATGATTAATGCCACGTATATTATCCTTACTATGACGTACAATATCAAAAGTGCTACCATTATAGTCAGTATTACCAAAAATAAAATTTAAATTAGCACATGGGATAAAGTCTAAAAGTTTTTTACATCGACTATTAAGGTCACCTGACAAAAATAACATGGTGTCCGGGTATTCATATGTAATTTGTTCAAAATGACTAAACATTTCATTGATACCGTTTTTATCGTCTCTATCATTATAGTAAGAACTTCCCTCAGGACTTATATATGTGAAATACATGATAATGTCATTACAATCAAATATTTTTGAAAAATTACAGTATAGTACAACACAGTTCTCAAAATGATCAAATATTTGTCTTATTGATATAAGTTTATGAATAGTACTTTTCACGAAAACACTCATTCCACCATTGTTCCTCAATGCATTATCTTTCATTTTCCTAACAAAGTCAAAATGCACATATGAATTTACAAAATTATTGAATTCTCCTTTGAATTTACTCCATGTTTCACATGTACTTAAAATATCAAAAGTATTATGACATTAAACAGCCAAAACTGGCCATATAATATTGCGGACCATGTGACAAGGTGGTATTACTAAGACAGAGACGAACTGGAAATAGAGACAATGTGGACTGTACTTTAGGATTGGTATGGACGCTGTTATTGAAGACAAGATCAGGAATTGCTCTCGATGCATCGCTAGAAAATCAAAACCATCTGTAGCTCCACTTGTAAACATTTCTTCAACTACTCCAATGGAAATTATTTGAATAGACTACTTGAGCCATGAAAGATCCAAAGGTGGCTTTGAACATATATTAGTTATAACGAACCATTTTACAAGATATGCCCAAGCTTACCCAACCAAAAATCAGACTGCAAAACTACTGCCAAAATACTGTTTGAACAATTCATTGTGCACTACGGATTTCCATCCAGAATACACAGCGATCAGGGAGCTAACTTTGAGTCCAATCTCATAAAAGTATTGTGTATTTTGGGTGGTACCAATAAATCACATACCACACCTAACCACGTCATGGGGAATGGTATGGTAGAACGTTTCAACCAGACACTCTTGAAGATGCTTTGCACAATTTGAAGAAAGTAAAAAGTCCGGCTGGAAATCCTTTGTTGCACCTCTGGTACATGCTTATAATCTCATCATACATAACAGCACTGGTTTCTCACATATTTTCTTATGTTCGGAAGACAACGTAAACTCGCCATAGACGCGTTACTTGGTATAATTTTTGATGATGACAAGGCTAAATCAAGGAACGAATATGTTAGGAAATTAAGAGATAGACTGAAGTTCGCATATGAAAAAGCACAGAAAATTTCTTCTGAAATGGCTAATTCTAATAAAGATGTGTACGATTTAAAAGCAAGAGCAGCAAAATTACAATAAGATCGCCGATAAATGGGAATCAACTCCGTATGAAATTATTTCTCAGCCAGATGAAAATACACCAGTGTTCGTTGTAAAACAATGTGGCAGTAAATTGAAAAAATCAAGAATACTTCATAGAAATATTCTGTTACAAATTAAAACGATGGTTGCTGGTAAAGAAACAGATATCGCAAGTCTTGAAAACAAAAATACTGAGAAATACATCATTCCACAGACAAGAAAAGATGCAACGAATTTGATAAATAACAAAGAACCTGAACAGAGAGAGAAAATTAAAAGACAAAGAAATCCTCCAAAATGGTTTTCATCTGATGATTGGACAACATAAGAAAAGTCGGCATTATCGTAAGTTATTATGTAGTTTTAAACATACTTACCTCAATTATCTATGCTGAAATTGAAGACATCTCTATTGTGATATAAATACTTACCCACAATGAGTTGACATTCCAAATAGAACTGATATGATGTGTTAAAAGTTTACACTTGCTGTAAATAAGCTACTTACCTTGTATATGTGTGTTTTCCAATGTATAGGATACTTACCATGTAAATACTTTATGTGTCTCATACATGGATGAATATTCTGAAATGGATTGCAAGAGTATGATATAATAACTTGAATAAATGTAATACTGACCTGGATTTGGATGATGCGATGGAATAATATTCATCATTCATACTTACCTGAGCAAAGACAATAATGAGTCATAATGGAGCAAATACTTACCTTTGGAGGCTCTCTTATATGTGCATCTGACTATGAAATCATGTTGCTACACGTTAAAGGAGTACGTTTGAACGTATTGAAAAATCCGAATGGAATACAGCCGGTGCTAGGGGGCGTGAGGGATGTTGCACATATCCACTATCCCTCATGTACAGACTCAATCAAACCGAGTCTGCAATTCTCTTGTAATTTTGTTGTGATTAATGCTTCCGAGGGATAACCTTGTTTCCAGATTCTTGTTCTAAAGTAGTTTGTCCATAATGAATGTTGTCTACACAGAGCAATGTATAAATGATACATTCTGAAACTGGGATATGATGAGCGTGAATATACTACTTGCCATTGTCAGAACCTCAACAAGTTTGCATATGACATGGCTTTTACATGATTATGAATTGTGTTTCAAGACAGGATGATGCATTTTTATTGTATCTTCAGCGGAAAATCGCGTTACTGACGTTAACATATTGCGGTTTATCAATATGATAGAATATGAAAAACAAGATCAACAAGGAAAGGCGGCGTTCAATGAACGCAACCCCCATATGACCCAGCAACAAGAACCAATGGCATCTTGCATTACGATGAACATTTCTTTGCTGGAAGATGGATTTCTGTGTCCTAATATTTGCTTTGTATATACTGTTTAAATGACGGGACGCCATTTCTTAACCGGGGGGGGGGGGAGATTGTGTCATAGGGTTGAATTATTTGATAAACGCATTATACACATAAATGATATATACACACTTACACTTACTAAACATACACTATATATAAAAGTACCTTATGTACATGATTATATACACGTATCTACATCAATACTAATCATACACTACTAACAATGATATAAAATATTCATAATTACATTATAATAAAGTATAATGTGAACACCAAACTGAAGTAGATAGTTTATAATGTAGTAGTAGTTTATAGTTAGTGTAGTCGGACCTTCTTATATTTTCGTTCTTTACTGTATTTATTTCGATTAACCTTCTTTCTGTCAATAACAAATCAATAACCAATCACTATCGAATAATCGATATTCGCCATATTTTGAATACAAATGTAAACAGCCATTTATGCTCTAAAACTATTATCATCCTTTTTGTAGTTTTATTGATATATCTACTGGTAAACGTTTGTCTTTAATGCCTTATATGTATTTGTATATTGTATTTCAATTCATCTGAATTTGTATTGTTAATTCTTTGTATTTTCCGTGTCTTATTATTGTTTATGTATGTCATTACAGGAGCGTATTTACCATGTAAATATAACAGATTCTGTCGAACCAACCCAGTGCATTTGTTTTCACTAACCATTGATTAGGCCGGTGACAGAGACAGTGATCAGTAATGAAGTGCACTTAAGGTCCTGGTCTTCTTACTGCATTTGAGAGGTGCCAGAAAGATTACTGGCACAGTGTATGGTATCACAAGAAGCACAGACTGTAATTTAGGTCCATGCAAAAAGATAATGATCAGCTGAAACTCATACTTGATAAAGAAATTTAATATATTCTTTATTGTAAACATAAAAAATGAAGTTATTTTGCATGTAATGTTGATGAAATATAGCATAACAAGTGTATTTTGCTGGATAAATTTCAACAAAGGGCTACAAACAGCTCTTTTGATATATCCACATGCTTTAAACATGGTTCATTAATCTTTGGAGTCCCACACTCCTCCCCATCTGTCACTTGTGTCACCTTATTATCTTGAAAATGTGATGGACTGCCAGTCTGATGCATGTATGTTTTTCTTTAGTGTAAAATATCATATTTATTTCGTTCATTGCTATTTAAAAGACTAAATATGATTTGATGATTGTTTTGCCAGAGGCGGTGTCAACGTAATAGATGCATGTCTTATTAAGAGATATATGGCTGATTTTGCGTAGAGAATATTTAACGTATATATCTTTTAGCATGTATCGTTTTGCTTGTGTTTTACATATTTCATATGTTAGAGCCTGCGTGTAATGTTTGTTCTTTAGCGTGTTATGTGTACGTTTTGCTTTGATGACTACTACAAGCATGAGTTTATAGTAATAGATAGCAACAATAAAGTCTCCAAATTACTGCCCCACGTTGGATGCCAAATGTCACAGGGTGATAAAAATGTCCAGCCTGACTGGGACTCGAACCCGGGACCCTCGGAATACCGTACCGCAGCTCTACCGATTGAGCTATCCGGCCGCTTACACATCTTCTTCCCTAAATAGTGAACCGTGAATTAGGGACATTGACCGTTGCCAGAACATGACCCATATTGATTTTGAGGTCAGTAGATTAAAATCAACATGGCCTTGATGACAAAAATAGACCATATCGTCTAGCAATGTATACCTCAGTGCTTGCAGTGCTTTGATTATTCTATAGGCATGATCACTGGTAAATTCATCTGTTCCAATTGTCGGGTATATAAAAGTCGACCGTTGTAATCTGCACTATTACATAAACCATTATAACGGAGTAGTGTTGACTAAGTGGACCTATATTTAAAACACATTTACAGGAAAAATTGTTTGAATGTACAGAATTTCCTTCTTTAAATATCTTTGACGTCAATTCAGTGTAGTTTTTGCTAAACTTTCAAGACATACATTGTTATTTTATGTACGTTTAAAGCACGTGTTTACAGAATGGATAGAGAACGCATGCAATGGGGAGGAAAACTCGAGTATTTGTTCACGTCGTTTGGATACACTGTAGGGTTGGGAAATATTTGGCGGTTCCCCTACAAATGTTACATCCACGGCGGCGGGGCATTTTTCATTCCATATGTTTTGACAGTTGTGTTGTGCTCGTTCCCAATTTTGTTTCTCGAAATGTTCATGGGTCAGTTTTCATCTGAAGGACCGATAACTGTGTGGAAATTTTGTCCAATTTTCAAGGGTGTTGGATGGGCAATTATTTTCAATATTTTCATGACGAATATAAACTATATCGTCATCGTCATGTATTCATTTTACTACATGCTCGTGTCTCTTGTGAACATTGGTGGTACGTTACCATGGCAACAATGCCAAAAGCCTTGGGCAACTCAAAATTGTAGGAACGAGCCTTTTCCAAATTATAACGAAATAAGGTATGACAGTAAGAAAATAAACACACTACAAAATTACCTGGATGTTTCTTGCATGCAGAAAATAAAACACTCACAAAATATTACTGTTGATCCAGTTTCATTTAGTAACTTCATGGCACTGTATAAATCGTGTGAAAAAATGTATAAATCACCGGAAGAAGAATACTGGAACAGGTACGAATTATTGAGTGTTGCTTCATTGTTTATAGAGAATTACTTTTATCTTAATAATATAAATTGTGTTGCTATTTCATTTATTTTTAGTTCGAGTATACATTAAAGAAGACAAAATCTCTGTTTCACTTCTTTTAACTAATTATTCAAATAAAAAATACAGAAATGTTTCACAGCATGTAATCTTATTGATTACTTATACTTACCGGCTATTTTGTTAAAAGTGGACTAGTATTTCACTTACCTACCGGCTTCTTTAGTAAATCACGTACGACCGCTTTTAACATGTCTGAAAATAGACACCGACCTGTTAGTGTTCTATTGTTATCTATTGTTATATATAAGTCGAGAAAACACGTGCATTTAAGATTTAAGCATTACATAATAATCGCCGAATACGCATATCCCGTTAGAACAATTTAGGAATTGTTTAAAAATAACGCCGATTTCTGTAAATTTATGGTTGGGAGGGCGGATGACCACTTCGAATAGGAAAAAAAGACCCATACATGTTTTTGAAGTATTTTCTGCATCTTTCTTTCCCAAAATATTACTTTTGCTGAGAGTATAGTTTGTTTTGAGCATAATGCCGTTTGTTTTTTGTTTTCTTCAAATTGATGTTTTCTTCAAATTGTTCTAGTTATTAACATGATAATTTGGATTATACTTACAAATTATATATTTATATTGGATTATGTAAGTTTATCTACATGTTCTGCTAGCAATTATTTAATTATTATTAGTTTGTTTAAGTACACATTTGTCAACAGATGCTAGCCTTTATATATTTTATATGTGTAATTATTATATGAAGGATACCTATAACGAAATAATTGCCTTACCTTTGCTCTTTTTTTATAAATGACTTGAATCAGAATCTCGGCAAGTTCTGTTTTCATTTCATGTGCCTCAACTCAACAACAATGACACAATGAAACCCCACGAAAAACATAAGAAATTTCACGGAATAATAGTTAAGTGAAACTTCAAAATATTAGTGTGACCTTGATCTTTGATGTAGGGACGTGATTCTTAGACGCGGCACATCGTTATGATGTGGAGGACATTCATGCCAAGTTATAATCGACACATCGTTTTGATGTGCTAGACATTTATGCCGAGTTATAATGGAATCCTTCTATGCATGACAAAGTTACAACCCAGACACGAATGTATGTTTGAAACATTATTTAATTTAATGCTTTTTTCCCCATGTTTTTGTTAAGGTTTGTGCTCGGCGTTCACAAGTCTGACGGGTTAGATGACCTCGGACCAGTGGTTGGACGGAACGCTATAATACTACTTCTTGTTTGGTTAATGGTATTCTATTGCTGCGTTAAAGGCATACGATCACTAGCAAAGGTATTTCTAACATTATGTGGGCAGATTAATTGTTTGTTGAATGTTGTTATTGTTAAGATAAAGATACTTGCCAAAATTCTGATGAACAAAATAATGTATAAAGACTATTCGGTTCTTTGTGTATACTAAGCCTGTTCTCTATACCTGAAAAGATAAAAGATTTAAAAAATCGATAAATATTAACAGTTGGTATATATCAATTTATTACACACTTATTAAATTAATGGAATGTTGAGAAATATTTTCCTTTTTCTTTAAATACATGATTTATGTTCATCTTGTGATTTAAAGATTGGCATATTCACTCGTGGATACCACCACTAAGGAAATATTTAGTATCATACCACTCGATGAAAATAAATCCTGTATTTACAGATGAAAACTTAAATATCCTCTATTAGATTTCAAATCTAAAAACAATTATCCAATCAGGAAAAATATACACATCTAAGTAAATTTAACCTCCGCTTTCGGTTTTGAAGAAGTAAACATTCTTTTTTATAAAATGTAAGGCTCAATTTCTACAAAACTACGTAATCGCCAATCGAGAAAATCTGCGATATATACAGATATGACATAAACATTTGAATGGTGTACTGAAAGTAAATTTTTTTGATCGTGAACTTGCTTTAATTCGCTTATAATTTTACATAAACATTCTAAAGGGTGGGATATGAAAGTGCGTGAACATCGTAAATATCGTGCAGTTAGTGAGCAAACTGCCTAGACAGTCTAGCCAAAATTATCAAGTATTTTATGTACATTATTATTGTAAACAATGTAATAGGATATACCCGCAATCAATTGAACGAGTAGTAAATGTAATTTGTGTTTGTAATTAACCTATATTTAAGAAGAAAATACCTAAATTTAAGAAGAAAATACCTAAGTGACAATTATACTGTTCACAAGGCAACACATCCGACTTATGGAGTCCTAGTTATGCAAAGGTGCAAAGAATGGGCGTACTATATTTAATAATGAATAATAAATAAAAAAACTTTCAAAAGTGCCGTGATTTAGCGCTAGAATCGCACTAGCAGTAACAAAAAATATCAAAAGAACTCCGGGACACCTTCAAAGTTATCACAAGAACTCCAGGACATTCCAATAATTGGGTAAGAATTTGTTTGCCGGGGATTTATGTTTGCAAGTTTGCATTATAATTAGGTAAATATGTATGGCAAAGACGAAGACCAGAATTGTACAGGTCAATACATGTCAATTACTCTTTACTCAAAACTATCAGATTTTAGGCGATGAAAATGGTCTATGAATTTGTTTTCGACATATAATACAATATGTAAGGCAAGCTTAATCATTAAAGTTTAATTAAGCACCTAAAACTCACTTTTTTGAGATGAAAATGACCATTTTTGACGAGTGTTTTTGTAGTATGTACATTTTCCGACTTTCCAGTTATTAGAAGAACTCCTGACAAGTTATCATAAAAACTCCATCTCTTGTGTAACAGTTCCAATGCAATAACGAAAAACTGTGTGGTGAAATAAAAAAATGTTTATGTCGGAAAAATATTAAAAGAAAATGCCAATGAACAGCGCAGAAACAATGTGCGAGTAACTGGGCGCGTAGCAGAAGTCAGTTTCTGAAAATGTGCAGTGATAATCTAGGGCTAACTTTAAATGACGACGAAATAAGTATAGCCCACAGAATCGGGTCATACAAGGAAAAACAACGATTAGTCTATTATCGTCAAATTTGTCCGGAGACAAACAAAAAATAAATATTATTAAAAACGCAAAACCATTAAAAGGCACGAGGATATACGAGGATTGATCAAGAAGCTCTTGGCCCGTTGTATTCCGGTAGTCAGAGAACTCAACTAATGGTCTTACTTTTCAAAATAATAGCCCTCTACAGCAATGCACTTTTCAACTTGTTAACCCTTCAAAATAGAACTCTCTATTTTGGTCCTCAAAGAACTCATTAACCCCCTTTCATGAGACTTTTATTGCTTCCAACGTCTACCACGAAGCTGGTAGAAGTCAGAGGAGTCCAAGGCAGTTAATTGAAGCCAACGCATCTTGGGATGTGTGAGCTGGCGCATTGTCGTGCAGGAGCAAAACGCCATGAGTCAGTTTGCCCCTCCTTTTATGCGAGATTTCTTGACGCAGACATTTCAATTCATCTGCATAGTACGTAGAGTTTATGGCACAACCTTGCTCAAAACAGTTAATCATGATTATCCCCTGACTATCCCAAAATATTGAAACCATCATCTTCCCCTCTGATGGCACCCTCTTAAATTTCTGCAGACGGGATAAGCCATAGTGCTTCCACTGCAGGCTCTATTTTTTCTAGATCGAAATGATGGACCCATGTTCCATCCTGAGTTACGATCCGGTTAATAAAAACAGGTTCATCCTCGTAGCGAGGCAGGATATCTTGAAATGTCATGTCTGTTCCGCTTCTGGTCTTCAGTCAACTGTCTGGGATCCATCTTAGGAAAACATTTGACGTGTCATAGACATCAGTCAGAATTGCCTGAACTGAACCAACCAAAACTTATACCCACTTCCCTAGCAATGCTTTGCAGGTCTCGTCTTTGGTCGCACATGACCAGATCGTGCACAGCTTCGGCAGTTTCATCGTTGTTGGCCTTTTTGGCCGCCAAGGCCGCTCATCATCTCTAATGCTCTCCCTGTCTCTCTTAAATTCAGCAGCCCATTTTTCACAGTGCTATAGGAAGGGAACTCCTTCCCAAGTATATCAATGAAGTTTTCATGGATTTCCTTTGGGGACATCCCTTTCTTACAAATGTACTTAATGACGACTCTGATTTCAACTTTCTGCATTTGGTCTTAATGACACACCTCTCTACTGACCAAAATGTGTTTTATGTTACTGAATGTGTGTAAAACTGCGTGTAACTCGGTCATTTATCTTCAATAAGATATCGGGGTATTGACGTATCGTGTGTAAATGTCAGTGTAGTGACTAGAAGTTTATCGGGCCGAGAATTTCTTGATTATACATCGTACATAGACGATGATTTAACCCGCATTAATAAACAGACACTTATGTCTCTCCGATTAAAGGACATGCAAAGAATTGAAAAAACATTGACATTTGAAGGAAAGCTTTATGCAATCTTTAGATCAACAATTCCACTGAAACTATATAATTCAATACACGCCAATTCATTTCCATGAGTATGACAGGTGGCTACTCTCCCATGGCCAAGCAGATCTCAACACAATAATACATCATCAAATTCGTAAATTCAGATCAAATGGAAAAAAATATATATCAACTTTTAAACAAATATAAGACTGACTATGATTTTGGTAATCTCCTTCATGATTTGTTTCGAATTTTATAGCCATTTTCTAAACCTTCACGCGTCAAGAAATAGTCTTTTAACATATGCTCTAGTACTTAGAATAAAACTAACCGTGTTCAGATGGTTTAAGTATATATTTTTATTTAATATTTTGGAATCATTTAAAAGATGATTTAGTAAGTGCTATGATTTTTTTCTTTTGAAATTTATTGTCTCAGTCAATTACAAGCACAAGGTTTATTAACTCTTATTCCAAAACCAAATTTACCAATTTTGTAAAACTGGCGACATATAAGTTTGCTGAATGAAGATTATAAATTCCTTAAAAAGGTTATCGGTCATAGAATTAAATGGGTATTAATAACAATAATTGATAATAGTCAAACAGGTTTCATCACAGGACGATATATAAGTGAAAATATAAGATAACATTTCGATGTGATAGAGTATGCAGAAAATATGATAAACCGGGACTTTTATTATTCACTGATTTGAAAAAAACGTTCGATAGCATAAGCTACAAATACGTGTTTAAAACATTATATCTCCGGACCAAATTGAACTTATTTACAAAACATCCACAAGTTGTATACTTTACAATGGTTTTTTGTCCGAGTTATTCCATTATCTCCTTATAAATTTATCAAACCAATTGATCTACTGTCAATAGCTATAAGACAAAACAAGGAAATATTGAAGGTTTTAGAATTATTAAGATAAAATAGCATGTTGGCAGACGATACAAATACATTATGAAATGGTAAATCAAACAGCTTTGAAGAAACTATGAACATATTTGAACTTATTTCCTTTATTTCTGGTCTTAAAAACTTAATTACAAGAAATGTACAGTTCTCTGAAAAGGTTCACTTGGAAATCAACATGGTAAATCTATTGTAGAAAAAAAAATGTAATTTTGACATCCGAATGTGCATCCGCATGAAAGAATCCAAAGTCCCTGTCGGGATTTGAACCCACAGCGGTAAGGGGCAAGTGGTTTGTAGTCAACGACCTCAAAAGCAAAAAAAAAACTGTGTTTAAATAAAAAATGAAATCGCAAATAAAATGGGAAGAACGATTTCCCCAAAAATAATTTCAATTGCAAAAAATTTACGAAAACGTTTTTGTATATTGCAAAGATAATATTTTACAAACTTTAAATAAAAAATTTTAAACAGAAATATTGCAACAAACAACTTTTTCCTTCAATGTTAATTAACTGAATCTAGTCTTTGTGATTTTAGCTGTATGGTTGTTGAAAGTATAGACCACCTATTTTGGGACTGCCAAACGGTATAAATATTCTTGAATAATTTATTCAAATGACTAAATGAAATAGCAATAAATGTAATGTATAACAATTGTACATCTTTCTTTCATGCTAAAGATAAGAAATATCATATATTCTTCACTTCTCTAAATATTACATTTATACCAGTAAATTAAAAAAAACTCCAGACATTAGTATCTTCAAAAGAAAATTTAAAACAGATTAAAAATTGAAAGATTTGTTGCATTATAAACTGACACATTAGAAGACTTTGAAATTTTTTGCTGGATAAATCTAATTGAAATCTTTGATAGCTAAAAACGTAAATGCAGAGAGAAATGCTCCCAAAGCACTTTATTTACTTTTTTCCATCTTTTTGCCCCTTCTATTGTGTATGTATAGATAATTGAATCTCTTAACTTTTTA